CTTTCCCTAGCCTCATTGATAAATACATATTTTTCTAACACTTTACAAAGGAGTCAATAGATTTTTTTTAAAAGAAAACAAAGTGAAAGACAGGGTAGGGAGTAGTTTCCCTGGACAGTTCTAGAATAGTTAGCAAGTACAAAACTAGTTTGCTTCTAATAGCAAAGTTTCTTTGCTTACATTACTCTGAAGAAGTTAACAATTTGGTATATGAAGTAAGGAGTTTATGTTTCATAATTTTACTTTATTACTGAAATACTTTATGTATATATGCAGGGTTGGAAGATGTTGCCAGATGGATATTCAATAGTTGTGGAATTCTTCCTGGCATTTTTGACAGAATATGTAATACTGAATGGTTTTATGCTAATACTTTGCACTGGAATACATATTTTATAGCTACTTTGAAATGCAAATTTCAAAGAGCCAAAAACTTTAGAAACCTTACTCCATAAGAAATGAGCTAGCTTGCAAAGAGGTTGTTAGCAACATTAGTTACAACATGTTGTCATAGCTAGTAGGAGCTGGTAAAAGCATGATTTTTACATGGGTATAATTTATGAAGCTGCAGCCTTACAATTCCACTTGATTTGTAGGACATTTTTTGTTCCGCAAAAAATGTACTGATTTCTTGGGGGGTTGTGAAAACCCACTCCTTTTCTGCAGGTCAGGTAAAATATTAAGATTCCAGAATCATACGTGTAAATAAACAAAATGTACGAACACATTAATTTACCAATATATAAACAGTATTTTGATGCTAAGGTCCCGGTCCTGAAACTGGTTCATTGTGAAGGCAGGCTTGCCCACAAGGTTCCAGGTGCCCAGAACTGGATACAACAGTCCAGCTGCAGCCGCACTAATGTTGAATTAAGTTTGGAATATCAAGTTTGGAATATTTTTAAATACAGCTCTGTCTTGTCCAGCCTTCTTTGCTGACCTGTCTCCTAGGCAAACTGTTTAAGTTAATGTTTTCCTTGACCATTCAAATGATATTTTCTCTAATGTACGTTAAGCTTCTTGGTAATTATAAAATGAAATGATGATCCCAAAAGCTAAGCAGAGACAGTCAAAAAGCCCAAGGCTGAATTATTTCAATTTTTGCAGGTTAGTCTAAGCTGTGTAGATTGAACTGATACACAAGTGAACAGACACTCATTTTTAATTCTGAAAATGTAGCCACATGCCTGCAGTGGCCCAGGCCAGAAGCTGGGGGGCCCAAGAGCATGCCTCCCTGCTTGGTGGAGTTTGCAGGGGAGGTGCAAAGCATCCTGGGATGCTGGGGGATCTAGAACAGATGTTCAATAAACCAATTTAACCTAAATTAGTTAACCATCCAGGTTTCTCTCAAACCAGTTCAGGCCATTTTGAAGGTGGTTTACGTGCACTGGACTTCTGTTGTGTTACAGATTTGAACCAGTTTCCAATACTTATATGAGTTCATGTGCAATTTCTGGCCCTAGCCAAAGAGGGTGGGAAAACAAAGGCGCTCTGTGTACTAATGATTAAGGTTCCAGTGCCACCCTCTCAACTTTGCTTTTTCCACTTGTCAAATACTGATTTTATTAACATCAATCTAATGTTATTTAGGGAAAATATTCAGCTTCTACCATAATAGGGGTGCTTGTAATGACTACAGTGGGCTTTGGTTCAAACCAAAATTGCTTCATTCTGCTGAGTTGTTATGCCAGAATCACTGACTTTCACCACTTACTTTCTATGGCTGAGCCAAGATAAAAAGTACAAATGAGGTGTTTTATTTTAGTTCCTTAGTGGAAAATTATTATTTGTTTTTAATAAAGGTTGGGGCTACATAATGTGATGCTCCTGTGTGAGTCATGAACATGGAAGACTGAACCAACAATTTTTGGTTCTAAAAGCACAAGACCTTATTGCCTGAAAGTAAAAAAAGAGATTTATTCATCTGTAACTGCTTCAACCACCACTAAGTATGGCACAGCATGTAGGGGAGAACAGAGCATTATTCTAACAAGATGTGGATTTCAGCTACCTTTTCAGAAGAGCTCAGCTTCCAGCAGCAACCAGTTTTTCCTCCTTATCCTCCTAAGGTCATCCTTATTTTAACATTAGCCAGAATTTTAAAATATTAAGTAAAAAGCAAGCAGTTAAGCCCCCATATCCTGGCATAACAATGTACATTTTTAAAAGGAGCTGAAGATAATCTAAGATTTAAAAGAATATTTGAGCTGATGTTTAAACTGGCGCTTTGTAACTACAGTAACAGTGGCAATTTGCAATCTGCTATTGTAGTGTAAAACCACGTTTAGATTCTCAGTCTAATTTATCAGGCGAGTACTGTACTAGTCTGTGAGGTGCATTTTACGTGCTGGAAATCCAAATGCATATTATGTGTCTGATTTTAAAAACAATTATACAGTGCTTAAGTATGGTACCAAGCTTGGTTGCCAGCAATCAATAAGTTTACTGTTAGGGAACAAAAACACACACAGAGAAAATTAAAAGCCAGTAAGAGCCAGCAAAAACAAGAGTAACTGGAAGTGACAAGCTCCATCAAACAACTTGTCTCTGTTCCAGCATATATTTCCCAATTATATCTTTTTAAGGCTTCTTTTTTTTTGCTGAAGATGACGTAGTGAACTCTGTATGACCATAAACAAAAGTTGTACAGATTGTTTTGAAATTGACACTTGCAAATGATGAAAGTCCTTCTTATAACATCTAGTCTGGGTTTGTATTTAGAACTTTGACAGCAAAAAGTTGGAATCTCAATTAAATTGGATTATTGTCAGTAAAAAAATTGGCAGAGAAGGGCTGATATTTCCAATGCCAATATATGGGTAGAAAACAGAAAGGAAGCACGGTACTGTAGATGCTCAGTGGCTACATACAGTAAACAGCATTGCTCAGGCTTTCACAGCACTCCTATTTAATGAATCGCCAGTGGTCATTTTCTGTTCCCAAATTTTCACAGAGGATAGATGCACAGAACTCCCATTAATGTATAAACCCCCACAGATGTCAATCGAAGAAAATGTCCACGTGTTCATTTCATGGGGAAGTGATGATTTGTCGAATTATTTTTCACAGCAAAACCATTACTTTGCACATCTGATCAACCTCAGCTAATCAGAAAAGAATCATGTTGCATCCAACACACTTGAGGTAAATTAGGAATCACCATCTGGCAAAAAGCTTCCCTTGAAATTGTTCTCCCTTTTTAATTAAAATATGCTTTAATGAAAAAACAGGCATGTCAAGAAGCACTAGGTATCAATTATTTTATTGACAACATTCCCCATTTTTGCTGGAGCGTATGCATCAGAAAAGGATTCCAGTGTTTATCTCCTGGGTAATACTATAACAGATCAGGGGGAGCACCAAAATAACATGTGTGTACTCATCTTAAGCTTCATTAATATAATGCAATGTGAAGCCAGTGATCATTTTGCCAGAACAAAAACTAGATCAAGTAAAAGGAGAATTATTTTTAAATTTTGTTGCTTTGCATTATGGGGAGCAGCATGTGATTCTGGTATCCTGTGCATCAGTTTTAGAATGTTTTGGACACTGTCCCAGAACTCAGGTAGAAAAAATGCACTTAAACACAAATTATGCACAATAGCTTCATAATTGTGGCATATTCACAGCAACTGAATTTGTCTTTTATATATCCAGCTGATTGTTTGCATGCATACATGGACACTGCTACACAAAATAACAGGGCTGTGTGAAGCTTTGGTCCCTGATTCGATTTGGTGGAGATTGGGCCCAAATAGGTGGATGAGTCTTCGAATCCTAATCAAATCAGGAGACCCTTTAATTTCTCTGAATTGAATTGGAACCCTCCAAAACAATTTGGAGAGATTCGGAGATTCGGACATAGACACAGCTTTAAATGTTTTTTCTACATACCTTGAGGTATCAGGTAGCTCATGAATACTGCAATGCTGGGGTGGATGGAGTGTCCCCACAGGAGCGCAGGGGGCTCCCCAGTACGCTTGGCAACAGATCCAAAAGTGGAGCAGAAGTACTTCCGGTCCACCCGCGGGTCTGCCAGGGAGCCTGCTGGAGGGCCACCCTGGACCCCCCCAGGTTGGCAACTGGTGCTTCCTGGGTCAGGGGGGCACCCAGGGTCCCCCCGTGACTGATCACTGAGCCAAGGGGCACGGGGGACCCCTCTGCATGCTCCCCGGCAGACCCAGAACTGGACTGGAAGTACTTCCGGTCCACTTCCAGGTTCACTGCCGAGCATGCAGAGGGGCCCCCTGCGCTCCTGTGGGATGCTCAATCTGCCCCAGCATTGTAGGGTTCATGAGCCGCGCCTGGTACTTTGAGGTACGTAGAAAAAACATTTAAAGCTGTGTCTATGGCCAAATTTCTGGTTCTCTGAATCAGCATCGAATCTTCAGATTTGGATTTGGCTGAATCGAATCAGGGACAGTGATCTGAATCAACTAATCAAATTGCTGTCCCCGATTCAGGCTAAATCTGAATCCAAATCAAATACAGCCCATTTTGCACACCCCTGCAAAATAATAACTAGACATGTCAATTATACATACAAATGCACACATACATTTTGATGTATGTAATTTTCAGAGAAGTCTGTTCTATTATGGCTGAGGCTTTGCAAGGCACAGTCACCTGAATTTCAGGCTGTCGCATGATGCTTCAATCTGGAAATTTAAAAAAAATAGAAAATCTTTTTGGTTATAATACAGTACATTTTAATATGAGAATTATATTTGTTGATGAATATAGTGATATTGAATCAATTAAGTTGGAATACAGCCTATGATGCAATGTCTTATTTTCATTGCATCTGGTCAATTACTTGCTAATTTCCAAAATTTGCCATGTTACAGTCATCTTATATAGTCTGGTATTTAAGATAGGGTTGGCAGCACCATTTACTTCAAATATCATTCCCCATGTCCCATTTGTAGCGGGTCTGGCACTGGGTCTGCAAAGTCGCCCCTTGGCAGCCACCTGGACCCCACCTTGCTTGCCCCCTCTGGCCTCTCAGTGTGCCATCTGTTGTCTCACTTGCCACACCTTAATGTTATGATTGGACAGGGAGGTTGCCCCTAGAGGGCAAGAGGGTTTGGGGTATTAGGTCTTGTCTGAGCTGAGGCCGCCTGACCTTGGACCACTTTACTGTAGCTAGGCCCTTCCACCTGAGGTCCACTCTCAGGACTGCAGCCTCCCAACTCCCAGCTCCAGCCCTGCCATCACAGGCTCTGGACCCCTCAGCCCCTGGTTTTGCCTTCATAGGGTCTGGGCCCCTCGGCCCCTGGTCTCACCCTCACAGGCTCTGGGTTTGTGCCTCCTGTCTTTGCTGCCCAACACCACAGTCCTTCTGCTAATAGCAGTGCTAGACCCATCAAAAGGTCTAGGACCTGTGGTGCCCTTGGCAAACTTCTTGATGACTTCCTCCACCCCCATAGTCAAAACCTGGTCCTTCAGTATTTAAACACAAATGGAAAGATATGAGCATCTGCTCTCCAACAGAAGTGGATTTTTCCAATACTCCAGATCATAGATGCGCCCTTTGTGTAGAAACATTATAGGACAGTTTTTAGTTGCATGATCACCTAGTTTTTTTTCACACCCTAGCTCTGATAGCATAGAGGTTGGACTGATTCAAATGAGAATGAGTCAAAGCTGTACAGAAAAGGAGGTTGTCATTATTTCCTTGGAATGGAATATTTTGAAAATAGTTCAATGCAACACAGAGAGAGTGAGGGTGAGAGTGTGAATTGATCACTCACAGCAATTGTTATGGCACCTGAACTTCAAAGGAAAGATAAGTTTAGTTCCTAATGGCAAATGGTTACAGGAATTGGGTACCAGCTTATGTAAATGTATACATAAAATACCTTCAGTCATACAACTGTCCAAGATCCCAGTCCCACAATGTATTATGCCGACTCCCAAAGCCCATGCTGAGCCTTACTGTGGGGTCCATCTGTGTGACATGCACTGTAGGATCAATCCCTCAGTTTCATATTATTTTTGTTAAAACGATTTTAAAGCAGATGCCTTCTTTTTTGTCCACATTGACATAAATCAGAGCTCAGGAAGGCTGAAGGATAGTACAGAGCCATTTAAATATCTTCTGTCTTGTAGTTCATACCTATGAAATGCCTCCTTCCAGATAATGTTTTTCTGTGGTTTAGGCCAGCTTTCCTCCCTCTTCTTGTTTCTTTGGCCTATAGAAGTTAAACTCCTTAGTGATAGCAGTTCATTTTGAGAAAAATAAATCCAAATATCCTTAAGTGCAGTAACAGTTTTATCTGTGACATCACAACCATAAAATGAGGTGACCTAGATATCAGAGGCATGAAACAGATCTTTAACAGCTGGCAGTTAGGATTTATTCATTCATAAAATACTGAATTAGAGCATTTGAAAAAATGACAGAAAATATTAAAATCTGATTCATCTAGCACAGATACTGTTACAGGCAGCAAATTGGCTAGTAAATGATTTTTAAAATTCAGGGTTTTAAAAAATAAAATATTAATATTAATTCATTATCATTTTACGGTACTGTTTTCATTGTGAAGTTTATTTATTCAAGTATCCTATCAGTTCTTAGACAGCTTCTCCAGGTCTGCAGTTCCCCTAAAACAGTCTCTTCTTTTTTGAGAAGAAAGAAGGAAAAAAATGTTCCATGGTCAGTCACTAGTTTTGAAACTTTCCATATTTCAAGAATGATTTTTGCTTAACTAGTTTGTATATAGCCTTGTCACTGTCTTGCACTGATCTCCTTTAAAACCAGATGCCTATGGGTGAAATCCCACGAGATGAACCTGCAGCAGAGGAGTGGAAGACTGTCACCTCCGGACCCAGGCAGCAGGAACCAGTGTGTGAATCCCCATTATGTCTGGGGAACAGGTACGGGGCCCTGGCAGCCTTGGTGGAAGAGGCACTGGAGGAACATTCTCCAGCAGAGGAGGTGGTCCCTGCAACACACCCTGGGCAGGCTGGAGGACCATTGCCCAGGCAGAAGAAGAAATGCTAAGTGGGCGACTCAATCCTGAGAGGCACGGAGGGGCCGATCTGCCAATCAGATCTTATGGCAAGAGAGGTCTCCGGCATGCCTGGAGCAAAGATCAGCAACATCACTGAAAATATTCCTAATCTCATCAAGCCCTCTGACAATGACCCCATGGTCCTTGTCCATGTGGGCACTAATAATGCAGCTGGAAGTAGTCCTGACCGCATCATGAAGGACTTCCATGACCTGGGAGTCGGGCTCAGGAAGTCAGGGGCACAGGTGTTATTCTCCTTCATCCTTCCAGTTGGCAGCAGCCGGAGGCACCAGGATGCCTGCATCAGGGTAGTCAACCAGCAGCTCCAGAGATGGTGTCTTCGATAGGGCTTCGGATCCTACAACCATGACCAACACTTCCAGGGAGGAGACTTCCTGGGATGGGACGATCTTCAACTCTCTCCTAGAGGTAAGCATCTGTTCTTCCGCAGGTTGGCGGATCTCCGAAGAGTTTTAAACTAAGTTTGACAGGGGACAGGGAACGGGTAGTCAATGACAACCCAGGATTGGAAAGCCACAAACAAGGCACTGGACCTAACCAGGTAAGCACTAAGGGGAACACAAACCATCAAGGCAAAGGAGCACTAAGAGCACCCATTGGGGGGACAAAATGTCTTTACACAAATGCCAGGAGTACAGGGAATAAGCAGGAGGAGCTCACACTCTTACTTGCCAGCACACAGTATGACCTAGTCATCTCAACTGAAACATGGTGGGATTCTACGCATGACTGGGCAGTGGGAATTGAGGGGTACAGGGTGTGACAGAGTGGGAAAAAGGGGGGGTATAGCTCTTTATGTTAAGGAACAGTACACATCTTCCATCATCAAGGCGGGGGTAGAGGAGGGGAATATTGAGGCATTGTGGGTCAGGATCCAGGGGGGACCAGGGGAAAAGGACTTGGTAGTGGGGGTCTACTACAGACCTCCTCACCAGGATGATGAGCTAGATGAAGTATTCTCCAGGCAACTCTCAGATGACATACAGGCGAGGGAGGCAGTGGTCATGGGGGATCTAAATTACCTGGACATCTGCTGGGAGGACAGATGGCCAAAACAACCAGCT